CAGTAATTGATGCCTGATTTCTCGGGTGTTTCGCCGAGGGGCACTTGTCAGAGCCATGTCCTGCCCCCGCGCAATACATGCAGAGGAAGTTATCTCGACGCCATTGCTTTTCACCTGCTGAAAGTTTGCGAGAACCATTGACAAATACGTAGCGCTTGTCGAGTGATGGTCTAGTGGTAGTTGACGAATGCATTGCTGACAAATCCATTGGTGTTAGACCACCTGGAACATGTGATGGGTGCGCAAGATGCTTGTCAGTAAGGTATTTCGGGAAGTCACGAGTGTATTTTTGTTCAGCCTTGCGGCCCCGAATCTGGTTGTCAATTCTCATGAGTAAAATTGCGTAGTCCTCTAAGATAATTGGTGATTCTACCCGATGTGACATGGCGTCTTTCAAATCTTCTGATAAGCCTTTTTCGAGGGCATCAATTTTCGCCGCCTCATTGTACTCGAGGTAGCTAATAACTCGAAGAAATTTCGAGTAATATGACGCAAAGTCACCAGCCCCCTGTTTGAGAGTAGTCAGTTCACGACGGGCAGTTCCTCGAGGATCTGGGTCTCCAAATGAGGCTTCTAAATATGACAAGAATGCAGTGATAGATGTGAAAGGCTTTTCTGGGTTTGTGTTAACTAGGGGAACAATCTGATCGAGAGCTTGTCCCTCCAACCGACTAATCGAGTAGATGACTTTGGCAGACTCGTCGCGGAATCTGTCATTGTTTACCTCGAGCTTCATCCGTAATTGTGTGATGAAACCGGGCAGTATGCTCCTTGTACCGTCGAATTTTTCGGGATCCGGGAATTTCTCGGAGCGGAATGTTGAGGCTGAATCCCGGGCGGCTGCAGCTGAGTTAGAGGAAGTAGATGAATGACCAGCCTTGGCGATATTTAGGTCAAGGCTCAACTGATTGGTTTGCTCCTCGAGACTTTCTATAACCTGGCGAGCGGCCATGAGCTGGCCTTGAACAGTATCTCTTTCAGTGCGGTATCGATTCAGGTGACCGTTCATGTATGCGTAAAGGGAATCAGCATTAGTTTCGAACTGTTGCCTAAAATTTTCGACTGTGGTAGGGGGAGCCCAACCACGAGAGTAGTCAGTAGTCATGTTGCACGGCGTGGATAAGGACGCCACGTAATCTCAGGGATGAGGGTTTGATAGTGTTCCACGGGGTGCGTTGTATAGCCTAGTAAAGATCTAGGTGGTAATTGAAGGTTCTAAATGGGTCAAAGGAATGACAGGTCTTCTCTAGGAAGAGATGAATGGGCAACTAGTTGCAGTAGGTGTTACACGTGGGTCTTGCTGATGAAGAACTGAGCAATGGATAAATGGTCTTCCCGAAGAAGAGATGGGTAAACAAATGTATTGTAAAGGGTAAATAAAGAAGACGTTGCGTGAGGAGTAAATCTCTCTCACGCCGAACTATTATATACAAGAGTAGAAGCCTTTGCCAACCGGAATTAATCGTAATCAATTCTTGCCAATATCTTCGCATTAATGGCTGTGTTCTTGTCCTTCTCTTCATGACTCTCTTGCATATCCTTACATGACTTTTTACACGACTAATTGTATAGGGGAAGCTATTATTAAATTGATGTCTTTAATTAACTACCCCTTCATCTTATCACGAATTAAAATTAGTATTAAAATTCTAATTACGGATCCGTGAAAAAGATCATTGATATATTTCCCTTGATAAATAGCCATTCGGCTCAGTGTTTACCCGTGGAATTCAGTCACCTTTTCCACGGAGCCTTCTACCCAAAAAAAATAAAAATGGTAGCAATGGAAACTGCGTGCGCGGGAAAAAGTCTCAAAAAACCTGCAGTTCCAGCTATGCGAGGCCTAGACACCAGTACCACATGAGGTGCGCATATTCATCTATATCTCCCTTCTTTGTAACAGTCGAGGTCGACTTGATCCAATCCACCATCTCCGTATCGGGTGCTGGGTACGCTCCGGAAACTCATCTGATGGCTTCTCTTCCATGATCAAGGATTGGTGATGAGTGGGGCTCCGACCTTACCATCTGATCTGATCGTGGTTAGCTTCATGATAATGGTAATAGGGGAATGTGTTGAGAGATGAAGACGATACAGACCGCGAAAGCGATTGGGAATCCTCTTCGAAGTGAGGACTTTGTTACTCAATCTCGACTCTGCAGACTCTACAGTGAGAGCTGGAGGTTCGTAGGGGACACCACTGGCAGGTGTTGAGAATAGTCCCCCAATATTGTATGTACTAGGTCCCAACTGGACAATAAACACATATATGCATACATTTCCATATAAATATTTTCAACAATTTTCACAACCATGGGGGCTAACGCCGATGTCGAAGGAGACAATGCCTAAGTAGCCTTGATGAACACGCTAAGATCCCCGCAAAAGCTCCATTGCGAACTTCAATCTGTGGCCAAATGGTATGCGATGATTCTTCAGTAATCCAAGGTGGCTAGATAAAAGGGCCAATTACTTCTGTGTTTGGAGCCTCAAGAGCGCATATTGCGAGGCGAGAGACGCGGAGAACTTGCGCCCGGATCTCAGTGACCCGGCAGTACAATGGGTGTCCGAACCGCAAGCGATTAATACATAGAAGCGAACGTTTGGGCTTGTAGTCTAATTCTAGATCCGGATAAGGCTGATTCGTGCAAGGGGATTGGAATTGGTGTTTCCCGGTTTACAATAAAAATAGCTCTAGCGCCCGCCATAATGACCTCGGCTCCATAATAAGCTGCAGTTAGGGCTTACAAGATCTATGTGCCACATTAATTGATATAATTTACATGGTCCGTGTAACCCGACAGTCACATGTCTTTACAAATGAGATTTTACTCCAACTGCCAATAATTCTCATATTCTCTTGGGCTCTGGCTTCAGTAGAGGGGGTTCACGCCTTTAATAACTGGGCGTGTACCACAGGTTTCTTTATAGACTCAACAGCAAGTCTGACAAGACTTGAACCACTGAATAGAAGGCTAGAGAGCCTCATTGATATAGATACGTTCTCTTTTTTTGACTTTCCTACAACTACCATCTGTAAATCATGGGGTCCGGCAAGAAGCTGACGTTCATGAATATTTTAATACTCGAGCACAGGATTATTAGACCCTGGTCTTCTATTGATGTGTTGGCGCCTACACAGTACCAACACGTGGAGGGCAAGACTGAACACCTGTACGCGGTGTCCTCTACGAACCTGGGAGTGAAATATTCTCCCAGAGCCAAGTTCAGTCAAATTTCGCAATATCAAAGAAGTTGGCCCACGAGGCAAAAATCCGAATTACTCCACCATATCAATCTTTCACTCCCAAAGAGTCTGATTCTCAACTAAGCTTCATCAAGTCTACAAGTACGACCTAGTACATCCTTGTTTCAATGACCACACCTCTCGTCGACTTTCTCTGGCCTCAGCCGGTCACCAAATACACGCCCACGCCGATATTTATACCCGACGGAGGAAGCAAAGCGTGGAGCACAAATCTGGGAGATAGCTCTTTGGGATGGACGTGAGAGGGATCAGGACAAGTTCACAAGATGATGCAGAAGAGGGATACATTCTCGACGGGCGTGGAATTTTGAAATTTGGCAAAAGTTTTACGAATTGAGCTTTGTGCGCGCCAAGACTCCGCTTGCGAGAGTGCAGCTGACACTATAAAAACAAGCAAACGATGGAAGGTGTTGTGGTCCGCCTCCTGGTGGTGTTCTCCGGTATAGTTTGAGTAGCCTGGGCACCTACTCCACTTGGGAAGGAGACATCTCAGATTACATTTCGCGCGGAGAAAAGTTGATGGATGACGGAGGCATGTCTGGATAACTCAGGGTTTTTGAGACGTTTCCCTGGGTGGGTATTCACGGATGAGGGTTGACTTGGGGTGAAGAAAAAGCCACCATAACTTCGCAGTGGTACTTGCAAATGAAATCCGAGGCATGAGTGCTCCTCTTGTAAATTGAGTCATCTTTTCTGTACTTTTCTTTGATATTGTGTCATAGCTAGATAGCTGCATACGCAATTAAAATCTGATGCAAAAAAAAAAAAAAAAAAAAAAAAGCACCAACACGTCGGGTAGTTTAATTTAGACTCGGCTAACCGGTACGTGGAAAACTCACGTGCTGTACACGGTCACGAAATTGAATATTATGATTAAAAAAATCAAATCCTACATTTAGACAGGTAGATAATACTGTACACGCGCCGCGAGAAATATATCCTAGTTTCAGAGGATATTGACTGAAGCGACACAGGAAAGAAGGTCAGTACCAACTTTCGCGAATTTTTGGTACGAAATTCAGGGGCATATTTTTCATCTTATATTGTTTTCAGTAATCTAGCTTAAACAAAATTTATACAGTCAAATAAACGTGGGGCGGATGCGAGATTTCCAGAACTAATGGTAATTGGGACTAGTTTCCAGATTCTATACATGGGTGGAAGTCGATGAATTAGCTCGCGATGATATAGCTGGAGGATGTGTGATTTTAAGAGAGATAGCTGTCATGAAAAATTAGGATTCGTAAAAGTCCTGACGGCACCGTACATTTTTTTGAGTCTCAAGTTTCTGGACGCTATTTAAATAACGCAAGGCTATTGATGGAAAGCCGGTTTCAGTTCAGAAGATAGGTAATGCGTGGTAAAGACTTATGATCATGATCTCTTGGTCTATATTACATCAGGAGAATAAAAAGTTTCTCTAATGGCTGTAGCTTTTGTTTAGCTATCTTGGTGTCATTTTAGCTTCTTGTTCCCTCCTAAGTAGCGAAAAAAGCGATAATAAGGGAATCTCCACTCGAGGTTTGAGGGTTCAAGGAGAAGTCTCATGATTCTTCTCTGTAGACAAAACTATCATGTGCCTTCATCGCTAGATTCGTGCAGATTTTCATTGTGCAACTTGTCACCTCAAACATACTAATTTAAGTCCGTCGGGCCTATAATTCGTATGAAATGACTTGCATAACCTTTAGTATATATATTTGAGTGTAAGTTTCACGTATTCAGGCAGTTACTACTCGAATAGGAGCTGATTTTTGGTAGGTTGAGCAGGTTGTACACCCACTCTTTCTTTAGCAAGGATGTCTATAAGCATTGGTGAAGGGCGGTTATCTTTACCTATAGCTGGATAAATCGCCTGATTATTTTTATAGCGGATGACGCTCTCAATATATTGATCAAATAAATAGGATGAATCCATGGGGCCTCCCTTTGCCTCAGGATGAAATTGAGTGGAGAATATAGGGCGAGTGCGGTGCATCATACCTGTTTTATGAGTAAAATATTTTCAAAAATTTAGGAGAGCACGGACCTTCATTTGAGCCATCGTTCAGATTGATAAAATATTCCTTCCAATCACTAGATAGGGTACTTACATCTACAGCATAGCCGTGATTCTGACTAGTTATATGACATTGTCCACTTATCACATCTAAGGCAGGAATATTGTGTGCCCTGTTACCGTACTTGAGTTTGATGGTCTTAGCTCCAACCGCAAGGGCGAGTAACTGATGCCCAAGGCAAATACCCATGATAGGTGCTTGAGAGGATTCCATTAGCCGAGAGAGATGATAAACCGTTTCTTGACAATGTGTGGGATCACCTGGGCCATTAGAAATAAATACACCATCAAAGTGATGTGCCACTTTATGTATGGGAAAGTCGTATGGAAAAACTGTGACGCTCGCACCTCTACCAACTAGAGATCGGAGGATATTTTCTTTGACACCACAATCTATGACGGCAATATGCATATCTCCATCAGGAGATGATACATGAAATGGTGCTTTTGTGCTAACTTTTTTTACTAGATTGATCTGTTCTGGATCAATGAAGGCCTCATCTTGATCAGCGTCGTATTCCTCTCCGATAGTGATTCGCGCGAGAGAAGATCCGACCTCACGGAGATGCGTTACTATAGCTCGGGTGTCAACACCCGAAATCGCAGGGACACCTTCACGAGTACACCATTCGGATAGACTTTCAACAGCAGTCCAGTGACTGTACTTCTCGGCGTAATCTGCAACAACAATGCCGACGCATTGAATATTAGGTGACTCGAAATATTTGAGGAGACCATGAGAGTCACGCGCTGGAGAAGGCACTCCATAATTTCCGATTAAAGGTTGCGTAAAGACGAGAATTTGCCCGCGATAAGACGGGTCGGTCATGGATTCGGGGTAGCCAACAAGAGATGTGGTAAATACAGCTTCACCTGATATATTAGATTTTGATCCAAAGCTCTTGCCATGAAATACTGGTCCATCCTATTTTTTGTCAGCTGAAGTCAAGTATTAACATTTTTTTAGTCTCTTACTCGGATGGTGAAGGTTGCACGATCATGAGCAGTAGACAAAGGTCTGTTTAAAGGTTTGGCAATATTATTTTCCCGGCCGGCCAGAAGACGTATCGATTTAGAACCGCATTGTAACAAATAGGAGTAACACTTTAATTTACGCGAAAACATGCTAATTACATGTACGGAGGTGCTCGAGACTCAGGGCGAGGGGGTGAGAGTAGACAAGTTATTTAGTTAATTGAGGCCTTCCAGATATGGTCTGAACAATAAGCTTTGGTAGTTGAAAGGCAGTTTGAGGAGGCAAACCTGAAATATAGTCCTGCTGCTTGTTAGAGATGGGGCGCTAAAAATTTTGCAATCAGCCGCGCAGAAAACGATATCACACATTCTAGAGCGACTGGAAGTACTATTTTTCCAAACAACTTTGAAGAGTGATAAGTTGTTAAAATGAACATACCTGGGATGTAAAAGCTGATAAGCGTCCACTCATACGCGCGATGTTTGATTCCAGTATGAGGGACCGGACACTGGATTGAATGAAGGAAAATTTAAGAAGGCTAAATGTCGGCAAATAATTAATGAGGGCCGACAGCGAATGTGCTGAGCCATAAGTGCTCTCCACCGCCTATTCAAAAGCTGTTAAGCGAGTGTCGTCCTCACAATCGGCACTGTTGTTCGGAGATCATTATCATCATGTTATCCTGATTTGGCGCCCTACTGGCCCATGCAGGTTTATGTGAAGCGTAGTGTTTGTGTCTTTGGTTTATTGTGCTAATTGAGTCTGTAACTATCTAGCACATCGTTTTCCTCCCCGACCCAGGCCACACCTTGTATGGTGCTCCCATCCCCTTCTATTCCGAAAAAGCATATCTGAAATAATGCCCATGATGGATGGCTAATTAGCTCGGTATCTCATCAAGGCTATCTGCCCCCTCAAACTTCCTCGTTGGACTTCGGAGCTCTGAAGCCCGATCCCTCCGCCATGGGAACATCATTCTAAGAACTGATTATTGCCTCTGCAGTTTTCGCTTAGGGTGCTAATACAAACTTCTCTTTGTTCATCAATTGATTTCCAGTGGGGCTGGCTAGAAAGTTCTGATAATCCTATTGGCAAGGTCCCCAAAGTTCGAGATCGCATGAGGGCAATGTGTTTATTTGCTTGCGGCATTTTGAATCTACCTAGCTCGGGCCGTAGCCCAGACACGCTAATTGCACCTACTGTTAGAGGATGCTTGAACTTATCACCCGTAATGCATGAGCGATAAAGTGTTTAACGTCTGCAAGCCAAGATAAGTACAGTGCCTCTAGGTTGGAAAAAGTAAAACTTCAAACTGGGCTGTTTAAGGGATTAGCCCTGTAGGGGCGGCTGGACTAGCTCGCAATAGGTTAGTATGTCACTCCTCTTTACCTCGCTCGCCATGATGTATGGCCCATTGCCTTATTCTAGCAATAGCTAAGAGAAACGCATTTTCAATAACTCTCTTGACTGCCTAACCTACACAATCCTTCAAACTTAACACCACTATCAATCCATCCTCTATTCTAGCAAACAATGACTCTCGAAAAGTCTGCTTCAGAAACTAAAGTTCGTAAGTATCTAACTTGCGATCAATGTATTGAAATAAGAGCATTAAGAAGACTTGGCTTGACATTACAACTTATATCCGACGAACTTGGCTTCACAAGAAGGCAAGTGCAACTTGCGTGCGCTCGAGAGACTGAGAATCCTATGTCTCGCATAGGACCCTTACCAAAATTAAGCGCGGAACATGTCGATGACCTTGAAGCATTCGTCCGGGAGTCTCCTGAAAATCGACAGATGTGCTATTTAGAACTAGCCATGAGGCCATTCAGCCACTGGGGATGCAGTGAACGTCTAATTTCTAATGCACTCAAAAAAAGAGGTTACAGCAGATGCATTGCTCGGAAGAAGCCTCCGTTAAGCGCGGTGAACAAGCAGAAAAGATTGGAGTCCGCCTAATTACATTTAGATTGGAGCGATCAACAATGGAGTCGCAAATTATGGACTGATGAAACCTGGGTATCGGGTGATTCTCATATGAAACCTCGTGTCACAAGAAAAGTACGTTTAAATTCTATGAAAACCTTCCTTGTGTTAACAGCAGAGTTTAGCCTGATGATGAGTTTGATGAGACTTTTATTGTGGCTCGCCATGCTCATGGGAACAGCTGGATGTTTTGGGGATCATTTTACAGATCACAAAAAGGCCTATTCCTAGTCTAGGAGAAGGATTGGGGATCAATGAGGGCCTCATCCTTTTGTGAAAGGATTTTGCCTCTTTTGAATCAATTTCACGTGGAAAATCCAGAATGTCTATACATGCACGACAACGCACCATGTCATAAAGCGTACTCAACAATTCAGGCGCTGCATGAAGTTGGAATAACGCCTATTAGATGGCCACCTCACTCTCCGGACCTGAACCCGATCGAGTCATTATGGAACACCTTCAAAAATCACATTCAGGTAAATAGTCTAGAGATAAATGGGGTCAGACTTGTGCGCTCTGCCACGTTGAAGACATTGCTACAGGATGCATGAGACTCTATACCTTCTGAGGAGCTATTGTCACTAGCTGGCAGCATGCACGAAAGACGTTTAGCAGTGATAAAGGCAAATGGAGGGTACACAAAGTATTAGGATGGAGAAGACTAATTCAAAACATGTAGTACGCTTTCATTTTATTTGTGAGACATACTGAGGGCTTACATATAGACTTTTGTAATACAGAGCAATAAATTTTGAAATAGATGTACATTTTTAGAGAATATCGATTGATTTCTTTAATTTTTAAACTTAAGTGAGGACCATTGTACATTTCCCATTGCGTTGAAAACCATCCCCATAATTTAGCCTTTCCCGGAATGTCACTGGATAGTACTCCTGGCTTGCATAACTAGTCAGCGAACTAGACATGGGCCTGCATGAAGACTAAACCAATCCATTCTATGTGAACAGGGATCTAACCCCAGTCATTTTGAAAATTTTACTTTTGCCATCCATAAGAGACTGTAAGGAAGTTTCAAGTCCCTTCCGATTCTAAAGCCTTGGACTTCTAGAGTCTTTCAACTCTGGCTACTTCTAAAGTTTACAATTTTGATAATTCAATTTTTAAAGAATTTATAGGATGACGCCATGGTTGAACCTGCAAGCCAAGAAAGTGTCAAATTACATTAAAAACTTGAGTTATGAGGGATTAGACAGATAGTTGAGTCGCCGCCTCTCGATAAACCCTTTTAAGCTTAGAAAACACAGTCCCGGGCACCATGCTGGTGTGCACGTTATCGGAGGGGAATTTTCTTATTGTAGGGATGATTTTTTAACCCTGGAGGCTGATCAGCAGCATCTTTCTGTGACAATTCTCGTTTCCGCTGGCGATTTGGTACTTTGGGTAGCCCCTTTGAAAATACTGAGAATTTTGGGATAATTACGGGATAGTATTACGATTGATCATATTGGCTACATAAAGAGTGATGGTAATCTATGAATCGGCTCTTCTATTATTCCTCTTCTTCCCGAGAGAATATATTGGATCCTGGCGAGCGTGTCCATGACAAGATCATCATGTGAGCCCCAAATGATGACGCAGCTACTTCACGACTTGTATGAACCAACAGAAAAGATAATAAGACTCGACTGAGGACGCCCAAGTAGTTTTCAGATTCTAGGTGATGCATTGCGCGTCAGAGCATCGGGTTGCTAGTCACCAAAACGGCCGGCAAGTGAACAAGACCATGATCTAAGCACTTGCACGTTGTAACATGTATTCAAAACAAGATCGAGATGAATTCGAAATAAATTCAACACAAATCAAGCCAAATTTCCATCCATTAATTTCCTTGATGATGCAATGGCTTGACGACTGGCGAGAATCTTTAATTCTATTATAGCCATTTTGGTTTATGCCTGAGCTGAAAGAATCAGGCCCAGCGCATTAGAGCTTTGCAGGACCAAAGGCAACTTTTTACAGCAGTGTTAAAGGTTTTGCGAAATGGGGTATAATTTTGATCAAGTACCAGTCGTCTTCAGTGCTAATAGCTTTCATATGAATCAGAATGCCAAAATTAGTTGCCACTAGACTCTGACACGTGGGAATCTTGCAAACCTTGATATAAACTTTCTTGTGAAACTCCATTTCTACTTCAATATAGTTACACACAAATTTCATGACTATGTCCATGGCTTACCTATGGTTGGTATGTTAATGAATTAAGGCTGCGACCTATCATCTGTTGCCTCCCCAACGAGATTTTGAACGACAAAATTGATGTTATTTTAATTTTGTGATCCAGTTCATACTTCTCAGACCGATGGTCGAATTTCGAGTTTGATTCGCCAAAGTAACGATAAAATAGTCAAAGGATTATGCGTAGAAATAATATAATCATACATTTAATACCAGAATTTAAAGCTGAAACTCGGGCGAACCATAAGGAGAAAGTTAGACTCGTTCTTTGCCCAAACCATGACTCCACTCAACGCCCCTTGTGGTCGAGCCACCACATTCTATATCTTCTAGTAACGTCCGTAATCACGGGTACTATGAGTATCGAATCCGTAGGTGTATTTTTCATTTGGTGCGCCCCGGTAGCTTCCACCTCCTCGTCCCCTGTATCTGCCTGCGCCTCTGGACCCACGCCCCCAACCTCCCAGCCCTCCGGAAAATCCACCTCGGTCACCGCCAGGCCTGGGTGCACGATAGCCAGGTGGCGGTCGTAAGCCAGGGATGAGCTCCACTCCTCGATCCACTAAGATGTCACCTTCTTCAAAGGTGTAGCGATGGGGATCACCCATAACTCGACCACCAGCTTTCACCTCGGCAGAATATGAGTCTTCAATACGGTCGAGACGCTTATTAGCGAGATCCCTCGAGACTGGTTTCCAGTAAAGGACTGGCTTGAAAGTCGTGAAATTAAATAGTTCGTTAAGTTTTGAGCTATCTCCGTCGATATGAACAGGCTGGGTTGGTAAATTATTTGTTCGGGGACCAAATGGCGCGCTGTCGATACTGACACGAGGTCCGAGAGGAATTTGATTAGAAGAGACAAGAGAGGTAGTAGAAGTAGGCCGCTGTGCAGGGAGAGGTGCGTTACTAGCTTCCTGTAAACTGGCTGTTACTTGGCGATTTTCGTTAATATCATAGTAAACCTCCCATTTCTTGGCCATAGATCGTCCTCCTGTATTACTTTCTTGTTCTAATGTGATCCATTCTTCGAGCTTATCTTCCGGTATAAAGTCTACCCAAAGTGGCTTACGGTTTCTTTCATCTGGCCAAATACGAGAGTGTAGCGCGATACGTACACGGGAAGCAGCATAGACGCTACTAAAAGAAATAAAAGCATGAGTTCGTATTGGGTCCAAGTAGAAGGTGAGAATGCGATCGGGATCAGGGTTTTGTCCGGGAGGAGCCGCAAGTGCAGATAGATGAGATCTAAATTGTTGAGGACTTAGAGGGCGCTGCATATCTCTGATATAAAGAGCAGATGTCGCAGGATGTATAGCCGGAGATACGGCACGTTCTGATTCAAGGTTATTGTCGTGGCCCAGATCTGATTCATTAGAAGCGCCTCTTCTGTTAAAAAGTCCTTTAAATCGACTATCACGACGAGCGTGGTTTGATGTATCAGTTGTTTCCGATATGACAAGTTCTTGCTGGTAAGATTCGTCATACTTCATCGTATCATCATTTTCTGTTCTTGAGTTGTGATACTCCGTGGAGTGATTGTTTGAATTTTCTACTACCATCTCATCCTCGTGATTGACCTTTTCGCCTTTGGATGAAGCCATATTTTCGTTTTCAAGCTTTAGATGGTCCTTTGTGTTTGAAGTATCATTACTCTGCCGCTCATGTGTTTCTAAATCTATATTGCTTTCTTCAAGTGGGAACTCATCACTTTTCCGAAGGCGCTTCATCGAAACATCTTTCGTGGATGGTGTTGGACTCTGTGATCTGCGTTTTCGCTTTTGTCGGTCATCGTTCATTTCCTCAGTAGATTGTGGTTCAACTTTGTGCGCGTCAGTGCGCTCTTCCTCAAGAGCATGATCATCATGGACCATAGACTCGTCATTTTGATCTCTTGGTGTGGTTGGACTAGAATTTTGACGAGAGTGGTTAGTTACAGTTTCTTGTTGCGGCCATTCCCCGTCTGGAGCGTCTAAGGGAGAGTCTTCCGGCAAATCTGCGGAAACAGCTTCTGGTGAGTTAACAGTCCCAGAACTACCGTTTAGAGTCGCTGAGTCGTGCTGGATTGTTGCTTCACTTTCAGACCCTTCTCTATTCTCGGCCTCTTTCAGGCGAGCAACCAGTAGACTTTTGATTCCAGTCTGCAAAAGACCGCGTTTTTTTAATTCCGATTTGAGGTCAATGACTTTCCACTTGTTGAAATCTGTCATGATGGATTATTGATGAATTAGCCAGACAATTGCGCATGATAGGAAGAAATGTGTTTAAGGGGAGGGGGGCATGGTCGTAAAATTTGGGTCTTAACAAATAACCCTAGCTCATGGCGCGTCCACTTCCAAGAGCTAACCTGCCTGATAATTCGGGCAACTATTAAATAAACCAAAGTTATCCGTTATCGAACAACACAATAAACGTCGGGGGCAATAGCTTCACCAAAGATTCGGAACTAATGATAGTCACCATTCTATCCAGACCATATAGAAGAAGTCAAGAATCATGATATATCCTGATCCCGAAAATCCCGTCATGCTGGGATCAAAGCTACACACCGCTTCACCCAAGAAAAAGCCAAGGAGCCTTGCTCAGATGTCTTCTTTTACCCACCCAAGGCTCTACTCCTAAGAGACAAGTTGCTTCTTACCAATAGGCTTAGCTTTTGTTGGGCACCAATTTTTAAGCTTGATTCTTGAATTACTTATGGAATCGGACTCGCATATTTTTGGGATAGAAAATTTTGGTTACAAAAGCAATACAAATATTCAACAGAATGGTTCAATTTGTATACGACAACCACGCCTGACCAGAACAAATATAGGATCTGTGTTCAGAAAATAATTCCGACTGAGCCAAGCAAGCCTATTTTGTGAGCTAACTTTTGTGCTCGTGTTTTTCTGGGCCACCTTATTTATCTTAACGACCGTTGTCAGATAAGAAGACCATAATCCGATGTTGAAAATAGAGGTTGAATCATGGATATGGTATTCCATTGCTATTATTCTGGTTCTCGCGAGATAGTGAGGTCATCCTTTTCCCTTTCTCTATAGACTTCACTAAACCACTCATCAGCGTTTCGAGATGGCTTCAATGGGGCACGCTTAAAGCTTTGAGGTTGGAAGACTATGCAATGTTTATTGTATTCGTAAGTGCTACAATTATGATTCGATGTATGCTCATCCAGAGCATTGAATCTGATAAAAAGGAAATTTCTGGCTAATCAAGGCAGTTTTTCTACACTACCTTAACTGTGAATTTGAATATTATAGCCGCACTTGAAAGTAACCTCGTGCCTCCTTCTCAAATACACCTTCTTTCGCCGGCATCAATTCCTAATCGTATCCGAGGCTCCAAAACAGCTGTTGCCATTGAGCAGTCCATGATTATGACAACCTGGGGCTGCAAGCTTTCTTTACTACTTTTATACAACAAGTTAACTTTTGGCCTAAGCAATCGATATATAGTCAAGGTAGTGACACTTTATGTTATTATTAGCTTCACGACTATGGAGATTCTTTATTTTGGCGTATGGTGTCGACCATTTAATCAATACTGGGCTGTGCCAGTAGAAAATGGTATTCAGCTCTCAATATTTTCAATATAAGAAGTTCCAAACTAATATTTATAGATCAATGCGCTACAAAATTTAACCACATGATTATCAACGCAATATTCAATATGTCATCAGACTTAATGATACTTTGTATTCCTCTACCACTATTACTAGCTTGCCAGTTACCTAAGGGAAAGTAAGTATTTAAATCTATTTATAAACTTATTAACTGATATTTTTTAAAGGAAACTGATGTTAACAAGTGTTTTCGGCCTCGGAATCTTTGTTGTAAGTCTTTATTTTAAATTCCTCTGTCTTCATTAGCTAAAAATTTTGTCGATCTTGGCCGCTGCCCTCAATAAGTACTTCTCCTTTTGTGATCCATTTTCGCATGTCTGGGAAATTTGGTACATGCGAGAAGCTAGCATGGCAGTATACGTTGCAAATATGCCCATGCTTTGGTCTCTCTCACGGCAGCTATTTGGATTACAATCATTCTTTGGTAGGGCTCTTAGCCCTAAGGAAGCTTTTTTCGATAAAGCCACCGTAAATCCATGTAAAAGCTTGTATGAAAATGCCAATCCATTTATGGGCTTTGAAGCTAGCCATATCGATGACCTTGGAATGGAAGACGGCGACACATCTAGAACTTCAAATAGTATTTGTACCGGGAGAATCCAGGAATCATGCATTACTTGCAGCGAAAATAATGAGAGTAATTTCCTCACGCTAAGCCCCCCGACTGAGAGTAAATTGGCATGTCATCCAACTATCACAAGTTAGCTGAAATTGTGGAAAAATTAGAAAGTGCAAACGGACGCTCCGGAGCTGTCAATATCTCCATCCAAATACTGGCTTATGTGCTAGAAAAGTAGAGATACGTCATGTGGATAAAACATTAACACGATGTGTCATGGCACGGTCGGTACTCGTGAAGTTCTGACGAGTTATAAACTACCGCCACTACTACATTACGTGCTTCACGATAATAGAACTGCAATGTGCATAATGATTTTATGAGCTCTACAAGGATTCTCGAAGATAATTTAACAGATTACCTACAGAGATGCTGCTCAATTTGAACATTATGGATTAGCTCTCAAGCACCTAAATTATCGCATTGCCCCTCATACTTTCAGTCGATGAGGGTTTCTTCAACTTCAAAACAGGTCCCGAAGAATAATTCAAATCTGTACTATGCACCATAATGAGCTAGGCAATCAATATTCTATGGCTGCTTTTCAAATTTCATGAATTGAAAATTTAGGAATACAATCAGTTATGGATTGCTAGTACGCGAGATCTCTTCAATTATTCATCACAATATGGACTCCTACAGAATCAAGAAATTTAGACACAATCCGTCCATGGAAGTTTAGATTTACGATTCATACATCTCGATTCTGCCGTCTTCCTAAATCTAAGCTTTACACATCTAATACTGAGAATTCTTGAGAATTCTTGAATTACCTCTCTAAACTTTCATTAATCTCGGAAAGTTATTATCTTGAATAGCTTTAGATTGCAGGTATTTAAGAATTGAATAAAATAATGGTTTTCCGGCTCATTCAGTATAAACAATAGGGGGCTCAAACTTCTTCCACTTATCTCAATGATTAAGCCCTAATATGATTATATCCACCTAAGTTAATTATAAATTTGCAGTTACCATTATGCGATTAAAGCAGTTTAAATAAGTACATACATCGTTCAGCATAGACATGTGTGTCGTTTACTGTGATACTCAAGTCTATGACTATCTAGCACATTGGATTGTCCACCGTTTAATTTGAATAGAACTCGCAAACTATCAGTATATATACTTCAGATCGGTCAGCCGAGGAAAAATCTTTGCAGTCTCTCAAGTTAGAAACTTTGCTAGTTCACTCCGAGTTAATATCAATATCCACTATCCTTTTAGCTAACCCTCATGTCAATACATATATAATCGCTTGGTCAAAAGTTTCAGCCATCCTGGAAGGTCTCTGAATAATTGATAACAATATACAAGGCAAATAACAGTAAGACTACAAACGGACTAACTACTGGAGAAGCAAGAGACCATATAAGTATTCGATAAAAAATGATACATAACAAAAAGTACACATGCAGGAGGACATAAGCTCCACCTAAAATTCTAGCGATACAATAATTCGACATTTACTAAGGGGAACTATGTACAAATGCCAATTCGAGACTTCCCTCTCTCGCACTCCTAGTTTATGCCAAAATAGACTTCAAGGATGTAGATTAGACCCTGAATTTTGGCCACTAAATGCTATAAAAGAAGAAAATGCTACTTGTTAGAGTTTTGTTCAATCTTTTACTTTCAATTCTTGTCAAGATCCTCGTAAAAAAACTATATGGGAGTAGAATAGGCATGTCGGATTATTGTGTGCCCATTACACGCGAGAAATTTGATTTTTTTCATGGAACTATGGCGTAACACATGATTAAAGCTGTATGTGTATTATGAGCTTACGAGGAATCATGTGGACGTGTGGAAGACAAATTTGCATTCTTAATTTGGTTAGAATTATGGAAAAATGAATGTGTGCAAATTTTTATTGTGCGTAATGAAAATAAAGGCTCACGTAAATAGAAGTTACAAGTGATGTATATGATATTTTCAGACAAGTAGTATTGGATAATTCGTTTGCTTTAGTCCATCAAATGCGTGCGACTAACCATGCGCCCGTAAACGGCCATCATTTCGTTGGCTGGAAAGGGGAGATAATTAAGGGCAAAGGGCTCTTCTAAGTATATGATTGGATGAGGACTTGTGAGGGGTGGTATTGTTGTAAGGAAGCTGTATGGGAGGAATACGAGGGGATATACTACAGTTGGTTCGAAAGGTTCAATCTCTGTGATATCACAGGTAGTGATAATGTGGTGGCTACTGCAGAAGTGGTGGCTGATCAGGATGTATACTGAATATGTCTTTGGGAGTCGCCGGAGCGTCAATACTGTATCTTACACTTGTTTGGCTAAGGCATAAGACCAGCCTCAGGCCTATCGAAGCAAGTGCTCCAACTACTAGATAGGTATCCTTAGTCTGTAGGCAGAGGGGACCTACATTTCCTACACATTCATATACTCAGAGAGGAAACTAAAATGAACCTAAAAATGTGTATAACTATAGGCTGTCAGGACAGTGCTTGAGCTTGGTTAGCAAGGTAGTGGATGGGAGGTGGGTGTAGGTGTAAGGGCCTAGAAAGGCAATGGTGGTCTGATTGTGATTTTGTGATGACCACACCGCATCTCGTGGCGAAAGCGCCAATAGGATTATCCAATCCTTAGGCTGCTAGGCATTTGAGGGGTTTCACTTCACGTAATGTCTTTTTACATTTTGTATATACTCAAGACCTCTCTTCCTCGAAGATCACTCCAGCGCTTTTCCGTAATCCTACTTTAACCTCTCGTTCCCTTCACAACGCTAGCAGTTCGCTCCTTGAGAGAAATATGGTATTAACCGTGCAAATACCTACACAGCTGCTACACAAACTACAAAAGCATCCATGGTAAATATCTATTATTGTGGTAAAGGATGACGGAGGTAGTCGCATGGGCCTTCATATCCTCGTGACTTATTCGAGCTAGCCAGTATTCCGCGAGTGCTGCAAACAGCGAGTCGTAGAGACGGTCTGACAAGCGAGGGTCATGCCCCGATGACTCAAGTTAGTGATAATAACTTTTCCGGTATGCAAGAGAATGAGAAGAGTCTAGAATGCAGTGGGGATTGTTGGGCCATAGTTTGGTGTGTTGGTACCTCTACACGACCCAACTCGCATAAGCCCCATGGCACGTCAATTCATCTACGCCATACATCAGCTGTGCTGTATTTCTCATCAAGTCACACGAGTGAGCAGAGTACGTGTATTTTAATGGATAGGTCTGTTCGAAGAGAGCTCGCTTTGCTTGACACCGTCGGCGTGACAGTCAAGTGACCAAGCTTTGCCAGGGTGGATAACGCGGTAGATGAAACCTGGTGGAGCGTCTTATCCAGCATATAAAAGCATTGGCGAGTAAACAGCGGACGGCGGCGTTTCAGAGGGCACATGCAGGCGAGCGGAGTATAGAACTTGGCCGGTCGGGAACGGTGAGGATATCTATGACTAGGAGAACACAATTTGATGGCCTGGAATACGGCAAGAATACGAGGGGTTTGAATCGACTTTTGGTCGCATAGTGATCCAGACAGATTGCCCGAAGATTTTCACAATTCCTCTCCCATTGTCGGTATGCGCGTAGAGGGTTTTCTCGTCTTAGTATGGGCTGCTAGCCGAGCCGTTGCTCGTCCCATACATGCTTTTCGGTAGGGTAGTGGTCATGGAGGTGGGACAGGGCACAGCTTTTTCATTTGCAGCAGTCAGCCTGATCAGGCCCAGCTCCACTCGCGCTTAAGCTCCGGCACGAGAGAGGTTTCGTGCGTGCAATAGATGTTTATCGGAAATAAGGTGTGTGATTATCACAAAGGGTCGGACGGTGCAATGGTTTTGCGGTGTCTCGTGGCTCCTGACTATAACTTGATGTGGTAGAGCTTGAGACAAGATTGCGTGCCCCTTCAACCAGCTCTATGCTATGATTAAGTACCCTCCTAAACTCCTCGCCACCTTTTACACACCGTGCGCCATCCCTGACTACTAATTGCCTCCTTACTGCGCACTAAGAGCTGCTCTCGTCCCATAGCATCTGACTCCGCCTTACTTATCTTTCAGTAGGACTGGTTTGTGTCAGGCTTACTTAGACGACCGGGATTCTTGGGATCCACAGTAGTGTCAATGGCGTCAAGTACCAGCGCGTCACTGATGGTTCTGAACGCGCAGTGTGCACCTAGTGAATAGCAGAGTGTGGATGTAAGATTAAAAGGTTGTCACGTGGTATCTTGTGGCTCCTAACTACAACGGATCTTATGACAAGCTTGAGACTAATACGTGAATTTTATGTCCTCTAGATGTAGGATATCTATGCGCCTATATACATCAATCCTCTTTTATCCCTCAGCTCCAGCGAGATCTGATCGTGTGAGGTCACATGGCATTAGCATTTTGCCTATGTGCCGTACATCCAAAATGTGATGAACCCGTGACAGTGTAGATCTTTTCAGGATCCACATCACTACTATCTTGCCAACATCTGTCTGATACTTCTTTTCCCAACATTCATTGCACTAAGAGCTCAGTATCTGTTCTATAAGGTTTTATTCTCCCTGTAGACCATGCAATTTACAGACAAACCTTTGAAGAAGTCAACCCGAAAATGAAATCTTACATTCTCCCTCTGGACAATAATTTCACGCAAGTGTCATGGGGTCAACTGATAATGGTAGACACCAGAGCAAGTCAGAAAGTAAATTCAGTTGATTATTGTTATCTACAAGATATATCAGAAGCATTACTCCTTTCTAGACCTAATTACGCCTTAACGTCATTGTTTTGAGAGTCACGGCATTACTGACCAGTCTCACACAGCCATCTTTGTGGCTACTAGCGTTATATGGCATATATTGCCTGAATAAGTGCTTGCGTAGTCAATACCAACATCACGGCTCTATCCCATAACAGTAAGCATGCTTCAAAGGTAAATTTTCAGTCGGACCGATGGACCGCATCGAGAATCGTTATCAGCTCGACTCTTCTTCCGAAGATGAGGACCCCCTTCAGCTTGCAAACTATCAATCAGATTTTGGTGCGGGATCGCCACAATCTGCTACCAAGTGGAGCTTACGGTAGGCCTTATCTACATTGCAGGAAGCGATCAATGGCGATTTTCCAGTGAAGAAGGAATGTTTTTACAGTCTATTCGTGTGTGAATCACCCATGACATTGATTCGTTTCTACATCTCTACCGAGCCTGAGTCAGAACATCAGCTTAAACCTTTCAGTTCTACACTTGCTACTGAGCTAGGGCCGATGCCAAACTAAAGTGCCAATAAATGATTAGTGAAAGCCACGTCAGACTGAACAGCGTTTCCTAATGCCATTGCCCAGGTCGTAGGGCAAGATAGCGTGATTGAATGTTCATGGGGTAAAGTCGCCTGATGAGTTTCTTCTGTGGAAACTACTAGGTCAACTTTAATCCTCCCTCCCGCCTTCGCGACGTAATTAAACATCAGATGCCGGGAATTTCCCGGATCCTAGGCTCTCCTGAAGTTATGAAAGCTTTAAGTAAATGACTTGATAACTGATTTTTCGAAGCTATGTTACAACAACACTAACTGGCACTGCAACCATTTAATCTTTGACTCGGACTCTCTAAAGTACATGCCTGACTGGATTATGCATAATTTCCTTCTAAATATAGATAAAAATATTTTGTATCGTACTGAAAACTTAAACTCCCAGTGATAGCGCAATTTTACCGTCTTCTGGTGGTTCGGGGTGCATAGCAGGTTGGCCTTGGCCCATTATAACATGTCGGGCTTAGTTAAAAGCGTCGGTACGTCAGGTAGCTTATATAGACTGAGCTGGCTCGAAGTTAAAGAATAATCACACTTAATGATCCCCTGAGCATGGTTTCATGGAACAAGTCGGAGAGGAAAGAATGAACACCTGTACACGTTGTCCTCTACGAACCTGGCAGTGGAATATTCTCCCAGAGCCAAGTTCAGTCAAATTTCGCAATATCAAAGAAGTTGGCCCACGAGGCAAAAATTCAAATTATTCCACCACGTCAATCTTTCACTCCCAAAGAGTCCGATTCTCAACTAAGCTTCATCAAGTCTTCAAGCACGACCAAGTACATCCTTATCCCAATGACCACACTTCTCGTCGACTTTCTCTGGCCTCAGCTAGTCGCCAAATACACGCCCACGCCGATATTTACACCCTACAGAGGAAACAAAGCGTGGCGCATAAATCTGGGGGACAGTTCTGTGGGGTGGACGTGAGAGAGATCAGGACAAGTTGCCAAAATGATGCAGAGGAAGGATATAGTCTCGACGGGCGTGGAATTTCGAATTCGGCAACTAGTTTTTACAAATTGGGCTTTGTGTGCGCTAATACTTCAATATCGAGAGTGCAGTTGACACCATAAAAATAAGCCGACGATGGAAGGTGTTGTGATCCGCCTCCTGGTGATGTTCTCTGCTATAGTTTGAGTAGCCTGGGCACCTACTCCACTTGAGAAGGAGACATCTCAGATTACATTTCGCGCGGAGAAAAGTTGAAAGATGATGGAGGCACGTCTGGATAATTCAGGGTTTTGAGACTTTTCCCTGGGTGGGTATTCACGGATGAGGGTTGACTTGGGGTGAAGAAAAAGCTACCATAAATTCGCAGTGATGATTGAAATTGAAATCTGATGCAAACAACCACTTATTAAAACTTCACGAGAAAGATTCCGAATGGTCATGAAAATTTTCAAGCGATTTGTGGCTATGTAGCTCCGACATTCAAATCGCGACGACACTTAATCAGACTGCTTACTCACAACCAACGGGAATTCAAACAAATTAATCATTGTTTAGCGGATGCTTGTTAGAGTTTAGTCAGCTCTAGTTGTGCAATTGTGGGATTCATTAGAAGGATGACATCCGGGGTGTAGGTCTGGGAGTAATCCATATATGGTATTAATTCATTTTACGGTGCTATCCAAGTCACTAACCATGTAGGACATGGAGATCCAGATATGGTAGATGAATGAAGATGGCAAATTTGATGTTAGTGGGTGAAATAAAGCCTTATAGACCTAGATGTAGTACAATGTGGGGTGATGCGCTCAGTTTCTATACAATTATTTGGTTAGGGTCATGTGCAAAGACTACCTAATATCTTTGGTCACACAACTTTTGTTGATGTTGCAAGCGCTCTGTATGAAAGTTTTCATTTTGATGATGGCATGTCTTTAAGGAAAGTTAAGATTCTTTCAAAATTGTCATTTGAATGAGTGTAACCTCAGCTGATTCCTACTTTCTCACTTGCACCAAAAACGGTGTATCAAAGGCAGGCGCCCAGCAACGGGTACCCTGTTAAGGGATTATGGTTAATCTTCGCTGGTGCGAAAACAGTACGGGTAAATTAGAACACCGTCCTGTCGATAGTAATTTGAATTAGAAACCAGCTTATCGAGGGAGTTTGGGTTTGGAGGCTTCTCAGGTACTTATACAAGCCACGGTACACGTGACTACCATTGTACCGCTAGACTTCTTGGGGACAAGGCTTAGATTTACTATGAGGCGCGAGGTCAAGCATCCCGCTGCCCCTCGACTTGATATTATAGGTATCTGAACTAATTCACAAATAATATGACAGCTTTAAGAATTCTAGTTCCTGTTAAGCGGGTGATTGATTATGCGGTGCGTTAATTCTGAGTCTCATACGTCTTTTTCCGCAAGTTACTTGATTAGATAACTGCCGTCTTTTTTGATTTCTGATACTATGAGACAAATTATTACCTCTGAAAATTATGAAGTGATAGAATACTGCGAGTTTCACGAGAAGTTCTGAACCTGGGCACTACTTGAGTGTAATTTAGAATAAAGAAGGCTGGCAAATTAAAGGAGTAGTGAAGGGTCAGAAAAACTACATCTGACCAGTAGACACGCCTACATGGGGACTTATCGATCTAGGGAATACATAGATGGGGCTTGAGTTTATAAAGATTCTACCACTCTAGATTCGTCCCTTGAACAGCATTGGCTGACCGGATATATACAGGTTAAACCCCGAGTCAACTCAACACAAACAGATATTATCACTGCTGGTGTCAAACACTCCCTCAATCCTTTTGACGAGATTTCTGTTGAAGAAGCAGTTCGCTTTAGAGAACGACACATTAAATCTCCCTCCGCCAATAACCCGAAAGTCGAAGAGATAATTGCTTTTACAGTCGGACCACCCAAATCGATAGATGTGCTCAAGACAGCAATGGCAATGGGTGCAGATCGAAGTATATTTGTTGAGGTACCAGAAGGCGAGCAGCCAGAAAGCCTAGGTGTGGCTAAATTATTAGCTAAAATCGTGGAACGAGAAAATATCAGTCTGGTGCTTGCTGGTAAGCAAAGTATTGATTCAGACGCCCATTCTGTCGGTGGTATGCTAGGTGGATTCTTGGGATGGGGATTTGCTGGCCAGGCTAGCAAAATTTCATTTGAGGAGTCAGGAGCCTGTACGGTAGAGAAAGAGGTTGATGGAGGAACCGAAATTGTTAAAGGTAGTTTACCAATGGTTATTACTGCAGACTTGAGACTCAATGAGCCCCGATACGCGAGCTTGCAAAATATTATGAAAGCTAAAAAGAAGCGGGTAGACAAGTTGACTCCAGAAGAACTAGGAGTAGACTTAAAGAGAAGACTTGTTACAAAGAAGGTAGTGGGTGAGTTGTTACAATATTTACTACTTCGTTGTGAAATTTGTTAATTTCTGTGCAGAACCAGAGGCTAGGAAGGGCGGAGGTAAAGTCAGTGATGTAGATGGCATGATCCAAAGGTTGAGGGAGCTGGGCGCCATATAGAAGTAGAATTCTGTTGCGTAAGGTTGAATTGAGCAACACTAATCCTAATTTAACAACTATCGATATCGTTATACTTCAGTTTCTAGTGAGCCATTGAGCGAATCTGACCGCTAGATAGCCAAATGCGCTATTTGCAGTACCCACATCATCCTGAATGCCTGACCACTAACTACTGAAATGTCCCATCTGTACAACCCTCTGGTCACAGTAAATCAACTTTATCACCGTGTTATCAACAATGACCTCCCTCTCGAAATTCAGGAAACTATCCGATTTTACACGGCGCGACTCACTCAGGCAGCCGGTGTCCTCCTTCGTCTGCCCCAAAGTATTACAGCCAAAGCCAATGTGTTACTTTTTCGGTACTGGACAGTAGATGATATAATGAAGCATGAGTTTTCCGTTGAGGTCTCCTACCTTCTACCCTTGCCATGGCTAACCGCTCTTTAGGACGCTTCTGCAACAACGATCTACTTGACTACGAAAATATCTGGTATTAGCTGTTCTCTTACCAATATAATAAATGTATATGCCTACCTCCTCTCTCATAACACGCCGCTCTCAACGAACACTTCCCAAGGCCCACAAGAATTAGACCCCTCAAGCTATTACGTCTCTTTCTCTACCTACCAAGCCAACCGAACTCGAATTCTTCACCTTGAAGGTCAGATCCTCAACGCACTTGGGTTTAATTTGCACGTTGCACTTCCTCATCCACTAGCAATCATCTATCTTCAAACCCTCGATTTACTCACTAGTACTGATAAGACTGGCGAGAGTGTTGCTCTGCGTACTATTGCATACCTCAATACTGCCTTACTTAGTCCACAGATGTTATATTTAACCCATCAACCATACCAACTAGCAACAGCAGCTATATACCTTTCAACAAGAGAGATGAATATTGCCTTGCCTGAGTGTTCCTGGTGGGAGGTGTTTGACTGTGAGCGAGAGGATGTCGGGTTCCTTATCGTAGCTATGATGAGCGTAGAGGCATTGGTTGCGCGTGAAAGAGGTCGATGGGACAACAAGGATATGATTCTTCGCGCTGATATTGCAGCGGCAATTAAAAAATTAAATAATGGTTTGGAACAAGGTGAAGATGAAGATGAAGAATCACGCATGGCAAAATTGCTGGACGAAAAAGTGGCAAAAATCTAATCAGAGCGGCACTGTAAATTTTAATGAACTGGGGTTGGATATTAATGTCACCAGAGTACTCTGTATTATACACCAAGAGTCTTTTACGACGTGATTGACGGGTTACGACACATATGGGGTCCGACTCAATATGAGGATCAGAGGGTTGACTAATGTTCTCCGAAAATTATTTCTTCTAGCTGGCTGACGGTAGCAAAGTAGTTATGCGTAGAGCGCTAAGAAAGGGTATTTCAACTTTTCTTTACTATTGCGTCAAATGAGTTCTAGGAATTTGAACTCGGCTGCATAGGTAGCAATGTCAACTTGGAAAGCATACACCAGTTTTAATCCTGCAGCATGTGGTGCTTTCATGTACTCTATACATTAATTAAACCTGTAAAATGACCAAGTCTTGGTGTTACGTTTTCCGAATCGCAATGGTCGCAGTGTAGAAAATGAGTGAGTTTATTCTTTGATTGTCTGTGCTCACTTTAAGACTGTGTAGGCCAACTCCTCCCTTTCTATCCACAGGCTAAGGATAGCAAGGGTCCTAGCAGTAAATTATTTCCCGTGAACCTCCTTTACGGCTACTTTCTAACAGCACCATTTCTCTCAAGCTTAATTTGCTGCTGTTGTTGATGTTGTTTATTAACGTGCAAGGCAATTGGCATCCTCCACACTTCTATGGGAGCTTAGCCTACATGTCTTTACATAGTCATAGACTTTACAGGACAATAAATACATACACGTGTGGGAGCTTGAGCACGAATGGGGCCGGGCTGGAACAGGTTATCTACTATATAATTACAACAAACCTCGTCCCCTCAGAATCGGCGGAGCAGATAGATTGGAGCCTGAAGAACTTCTATCAAAGGCAAAAGAATATATTCAAGGCACATAATATATTCGACAAATGCGCAGCAAAGCCATTGAGGTGTTTGTCCAGTGGGTATCCCAGAGAGACGCGGCACTCAACATGCGTCAACCCAACAATTTTAGAATTTTGCGGCAAGACTTTTCATGCGAGGTTTTCGGGGTCCCACTGCGGACAAGAACCGAAGGCGGCTGAGATGTCAGTATCTACGCCATCATCAGGGAGATTGAGACAGGGACTGAGGCACGTGTTCTTGGCGTAAAGAAAAATTGCATAAGGTGGCTACATGAGGGAAAAGAACACGCGCGATCAAAGAAAAATGGCCGCAACAGAGGACTAATCGTGGTAAAATCCCGTCGGAGGCAACGCAAACGGAAGTGGTCCGAAATAGCCTTGTCATAAATACTATGCTTTTCACCGCGCAGGTGTGGTCACCAGGAGCTCAGCCAAAACTGTGCTTCACTTGCAGTCAATGAGGACACACATAGGCATCGTGTGGGAAGGCAGCGAGGTGCGGTGAGTGCTCAGGCGCTCACCAAGTTCGGGACTGTCGGAGGAAAAGGGTTTCTTGCGCGAACTATGGCAAGGAATATCGTTAATGGCAGAAGGCAGCGTGTCGGACCTACTAGTCCTACAAGGGAAGTGTGGAGAGGGCTAGGATGGAGCTGTTGTTGAGGACGGCAGAAATATGGAACGAAAAACCAACCATAGTACCAGTGCGAACATTCGGAACGACTGATGATCGGGGATTCACTTTGGCCAATAATTAAAAGGCTGGAGGACTCAGAAAATGGCCAGGGCGATCGCGAAAGGTAGTCGAAGCCCCACTGGCACCAACAATTCCCGCGCCTGAAGGGCAAGACTGAACACCTGTACGCGGTGTCCTACGAATCTTTTTTTTTTTTGCATCAGATTCTAATTGTGTATGCAGCTATCTAGCTATGACACAATATCAAAGAAAAGTACAGAAAAGATGATTCAATTTATAAGAGGAGCACTGATGTCTCGGATTTCATTTGCAAGTACCACTGCGAAGTGATGGTGGCTTTTTCTTCACCCCAAGTCAACCCTCATCCGTGAAAACCCACCCAGGGAAACGTCTCAAAAACCCTGAATTATCCAGACATGCCTCCGTCATCCATCAACTTTTCTCCGCGCGAAATATGATCTGAGATGTCTCCTTCCCAAGTTGAGTTGGTGCCCAGGCTACTCAAACTATACCAGAGAACATCACCAGGAGGCGGACCACGGCACCTTCCATCGTTTGCTTGTATTTATAGTGTCAGCTTCACTCTCGCAAGCGAAGTCTTGGCGCACATAATGTTCAATTTGTAAGAATTCCTTGCCATGATTCTAAATTTCACACCCATCGAGGCTATATCCTTTCCTTATATCATCATGTGAAGTTATCCTAATACCTCTCACGTCCATCCCAAAGAACTGTCTCCCAGATTTGTGCGCCACGCTTTGCTTCCTCCGTCGGATGTAAATATTGGCGTGGGCGTGTATTTGGTGGTCAACTGAGACCAGATAAGGTCGAAGAGAGATGTGGTCATTGAGATGAGTATGTACTTGGTCATAATTGCAGACTTGAGTGTCGGTATAACAGCGGCTTGGAGATTTAATGTGCTAGCACAAATGTTCTGGTAACAGATTGTTCTTGTAGAAAATGTCTATGTATATTCTATCTAACAAACACGTTAGGAAAATGCTACCTGAACCTGTCTACAAGTTGGCCTTAGAAATTAGGTTTACACATGATAAAATCCCTCATAGTTGTCATTTATTCCAACACTGACAACTCTTCTTTTGTGTAGTACTAGTTTCGGTGGTCAACCTGAAAAATAGATGGTAGACTCCTATACTCCGTACTTGTACGCCGGAACATCCATGCTTCTCTCTACCCACCCTTGTAACCTACATTCCAGCTCATTTGTTTCGACAAGTCTTCGTAATGCACCGACTGGATTAGTCTTTGTCATGGCATCTGCGGGATTGTCTTTTCCGTTGATCCAGCGGATTTCTGCTAGTTCCCTACGCTCATATGACTCGCGGATGGCCATGATGTCGATCATGAGCCGTTTCTCCTTGGTGGTGCCGAGTTTAACTAAGCATTCATATAAGCTGAAACTATCAGTGCAAATAATGATGGGCACAATTGGTAGACCGAGCTCAGTAGTGATTTGGTTAAGAGCATTGCAGAGCGGTATTGTTATGTCGACGCCCTGAGTCATAGAATAAAGCTCTGAGGCTAGCACTGCGCGAGTTACCCGCTTACATTTTGTTGAGCTCCAGTGAATAATGTTGCCACGGAATTTAAATGAAAATTCATCATGAATTTCGTTGCCAATTGCTATCACAAATCCGATCTGTCATGTCAAGTCCTTGTTATTGGCAAGAGAACCATCTACCCAAGCGTAGAGCCCGAGGCCGTTCGTCATTTTTAGGTCAACATATCTCAACCCTGAATCTGGGTTTTCTTGTTGGATTTGGAGGGCAACACACAGTTCCTTTATCTCTTCTATTCCCGGATTCTGATGCTGTGCGGCTCTTGACAGTAAGAAAGAAACAAGTGGCTGGCAGTTTGAGGCAATCCATGCACCAAGTGATCGCATTTTTCTATATTTTGCGAAACAATTGGGATCTTTGGGATCAATAAGCGTGATCTTTTTCCCTTGTCCACGAGGCTGTACGTATAGGGCTCCGTCTTTGATCAAGATTGTAAGACCATTGAAATAAAGCGGATTATCTTCACTAAGAGTGTCAATTGGCTTAGCTTTAATGTTGGATTCTTTGAGCTTAGCATCTTCAAGAGCGACAAATTTATCAGTTCCCAAGTAGAGTGTGTCGTCAACCTGTAGGGCTGTGGCACCGAAGATCGAGGGTCCGTTGGTAGTTATGAGTAAACATGGGTCATAACAAGAAGGTTTCATACTAAGCATCTCTCTTAGATGCTTAGTCCAGGTCCCAAACCAGTGATTACCAC